TATTAAAATATTTGTTTTGAAATCTGTAATACCACTGTTGTCAATATGACATATTAAAAATGCTGCAAATATATGACAGACGTTTACAACAGCAGTGGATCATTAATTAAATCCTTTTTTTCCTCGGAGCGATCGAAGCATCATCCACACACAGTTGTTTAAGGCTGGCACGAAGTAAATAAATATAAACACGTTTTCAAGGAAATATATCTTTTTGAAACGAATTTCGTTTTGTATAATGTGTAACTTAATTTTGATGTATATTTTGTTGGTCAGTTATCTACTGCATAAACAAGAGGAACGAATAACAGCGCTTTAACACAAGCCCGCTATATGCTTTAGCGCCAAAGCAGTTCATCAAACTATTTTCACGGTTTCATTTTAATTCATAAACTAAGCGCGGTCTGAGCAGCATGAACTGGACAGTCTTTTCGCAGCACTGATAGATTTCTTGGGTTACCTCGGAAGAATAAACTTGGATGGAGCTCAGAAGCTCTGTGTAAATGGAGAGGCTCCCCGGCTGGCTCCCCACATGTTTTCGTTGTGATGAGGGATTTGTAAAATGAAAATTTGTCTGTCAGACAAATTTGGTTAAAACACGCGCGGATATATCGGAGATATGGGCATAACAAGGTTTTATGCGACCTGCAATATGGGATGTAAAGAGGGTGACAGCATAAGTAAGGTAAACTGCACACACTTGATGATGTAATGCGTGAATGCGTCTCACAGTGCAAAGCATAACTTAACCTTTACATGTTCATGCTTAATCAGTCATCAATAAGGTCTATCAATTAAAGCGTTATCGACAATCAGTAGATCAAGTAATCATTAGCATCCCTAAATAAAATACATTAATGTATATTTCACCCTAAATTCACCATATTCACCATTAAATGAGAGTTAATCCAAAACTGAAAATTATGTGACTTAACTCGCGTTGTTCCAAATCTTTTTTTTTTTTTTTTTTTTTCCTGATGTTGAACAATAGTATCCAATAACTTGTAGGTAATGTCTTTGGTTGTTGAAAACTTGAACAAGTAAATGCTGAATTAAGATTGTTATTTTGTTTATTATTTATATTGTCAGACAGCTAAAACATTTCACTAATTGTGTTAAATCAGCTGCACAAAGCCATTGGCATGCTGAAAATCGTATATATTTAATAGATATAAAGATTTTACATTTATCATGATAAATATCGATATCGACTGATATGAAAAAAATATCATGATCATTTTTTTTTTGCCATATCGCCCAGCTCTACATCCACTGCTACCAATACAGCAGTGTTTAATTGTATTACATCACTGGATGTATTATATTTTAGCTTATTTCAGTTATTTACTTTTTTATTCTGATTGTCTCATTTCATGCAAAAGCACACATTGAATTGTTTTGCCTAAAATTGAAAAAGAAAAATTAAGTTTTTCCCGTCTTATCAACGTGTGTGGTTGTTTGCCTTATAGAGTTGAAGTCAGAATTATAAGCCCCCCTTTAATTTTTTTTTTTTTTTAATATTACCCAGATAATGTTTAACAGCATGGAAAATTTTCACTGTATGTCTGATAATATTTTTTCTTCTGGAGAAAGTCTTATTTGTTTTATTTCGGCTTAAATAAAAACTGTTTTTAATTTTTTAAACACCGTTTTAAGGTCAAAATTATTAGCCCCTTTAAGCTATTTTTTTCTTGATAGTCTACTGAACAAACCTTTATTATACAATAACTTGCCTAATTACCCTAACCTGCCTAGTTAACCTAATTAACCCTTTAAATGTCACTTTAAGCTCTATAGAAGTGTCCTGAAAGTTATGTAGTAAAATATTATTTACTGTTATCATGACAAAGATGAACTAAATTAGTTTTTAAAAATGAGTTATTAAAACTATTATGATGAGAAATGTGTTGACAATCTGCTCTCTGTTGGGGGACAAAATAAACAGGGGGGCTAATAAGTGACTTCAACTGTATCAGTATTTTATTTATTCAATTGTTTGTTAAATAAAATCTTTTTTTTGTTAATTTAAATGGTTGTCTGTTTTTTTATGAAGCGTTACATCACATGTAATTTCTTGTTTGCTTTTTAGTATGTCTGTGCAAAATGTTTTATATTTGCGCTATATTTTAGGGCTGCACGATATATGGTTTCAGCATCGATATTGCAATGTGATCATTCGCAATAGTCATATCGCATTGCTCTGCAATGTAGTTGGGATTATAGTTGACTAGATGTTACAGTTAACAACATAGTGGAGTCATTTCAGATTTTTACCTATAGAGTGAAAGTTTATTATTTGCATGTTTTTAAGAACGGACTGTTAGAATTTGAAGCAAATTTCAGCCATTTGGTCACAATAAATTAAACATTTGTAGCTTAAAGATTAATTCTACCTTTTAGAATTATTTACTCAAAACGATACAGTGATGTTATTAATAATAATATTACAGTTTTTCTTGTTTTATTTTTCATTTTCTGAAAGCATGTCTCATTTTGTCAGAACTCTACACACAAATCACAAAACACACACACATTGGGGAAAACCCTTCAATTCTCCTGCAAAATGAAACTTTACGTTCAAAACAATGTGATTTCTTCTCAAAATGGTCTTGTTTTCAAATGACACACACAAGCCATCACATCAATAGACAATTATAAGATCAGTTGAACACTGATGTGCTTAATATAAAACACTATGGCCACTTCTTCTCCATTTATCTTCTTCTCCAATTTTATTATAATTACTTACTGTCAGCCTTTTTAGTTCAGTGTAATACACTACAGACAGACAGTACATAGGCCTGCAGAAGTGCATTGTAAAATATTTCAGAATTTTGTTTTATACAAAACACACAAATACCAAATATATTTTACTGTATTTTCCCCACAAAAACAATGTACACAGTGTTCATGCCAACCAACACAAAGTTGCACATAAAGTGGTCTACATGTACCATCAACAGAAGTATTTACAGAATACAGTTACAGTAAAAATAAAAAAATAAACAACACTGCATTCTCTTTTCTGTTTTGGTCTAGCCAGATGTGTAAGTTCCCTTTGCAATTGTGAAGCCAATTATTTTTTCCCCATCCAACCTGGCCGTCTTCAGTCTACAAAGCAAAAGAAACTGAAATAATTTTATATATTTATTATTAGCATCATATACATAAAAACAGACATCTCCGGTCATCACTTTATCAGATGAAGCTGAACTGAACAGAATCATTGCCTTGCAAGCAATGTTGGATGTGCCTCTGCTTACAATTAGTTGCAACATAGGCTCATTTTGAAAATGTATCCCTATATACATTTGCGGAGATCGCAAATAATGTAGCCAGAAGTACATATGGCTGCATTTCATCTTTAAAACTAATGCTGGTACTTTTCGCGCTACCAGCTGACCTCTTACCTTTGTAAAGATATAATAAATATAAGTATGCTTTTTAAAACTCAGTTGGGTTTAGGTAAGTGAGTGATCGGGTCAATCGGTGCTTTTTAAAATGATATCGATTGGGTTTAGGACAGGAGGAAGGTGCGTCAGTCGATTGGCAGGTAAGTCAGTTGACATTCAGTTTTCAGAATGAGCCTAATAGTCTATATTTTTAGCCAAAATTGCAAATGTGCCTTTTCTGTTAAACTTTTATCCCAATTGTCAAACTTTAATTCTGGTCCCCATACTCCCAGGAGAAATGCTTGTGTGATGTAATTTTTTGTTGATTATTATTAGCTTTAATTGGCCAGTGTGCTTCCCCATAGCAATTGTAAACATTGTTAACTTGCAGCAGGAATCCCACACTGCCCTTATTTTGGAAGCATAATTTTTCATTACTTATAATAAACACATAGTCATATTCAATAGCCTATTAATAAATTACGTAAAAAATGTATATACTGTTAATTTAAATTGTCATCATTTTATAAAGAAATTATTTGCATAATTTTTCATTACTTAGACCATAATAAAGACATACATTTAATACTTTTTAATGCAACAAATAAATATTGTTATTTAATCTTTTGTGGAAAAAAAATTGCCTATAGCAGTGGTTCTCAAACTTTTTTCACCAAGTACCACCTTAGAAAAAAATTGTCTCTCCAAGTACCACCTTACGAGGCTATTTTTTAACCAGTATTAAAAAATTGCGTTGTAGGCCTAATTAAGCAGCTACAGGTGTGCACAGTTTAAAAATGATGCAAATTCCTATTATTAAGAATATGTATTAATGTCAGTCACTTTAAACATTTGAAATAGTCTGAACATTACCTGTGCTTGCAGATAAAAAAAAAGTTTTAGTTAAAATGTTCTTTTTCAAAGTTCATAAAAAATGACCTGTTCTTAAAAAGTAAAAAGAAAACTGCTGTATTTAAATCTCAAGAATTCATAGTAGCCTTATGAATATAGGCTATGTGTCAAGTTCCTACACTTTCAGACAAATCTTGAAATATATGTTAAATGTACATATGACAAGGTTCATACAGGCACAGCCTAATGAAAATCAAGGAATTTTAAGCACTTTTTCCAGCACCCTCACACACACTCAGCCCCGCCCCGCTACTGAAATGACGCGCAAGCCAATTGTAACAGAGCAGTCCTCTCAAGACACCTATGGAAGTTGTAGCGTGCAGTTCTTTCAAACAGGCTCTAACGTTAGATATTAAAAAGATAGGATAGATAGCCCAATACGTTTTTTTTACATTTTCATCAAAGATGGACCACTTAATCTTGCTCTTTAAATTCACGGGTATGTATAAATTTATTTATATAACATTTTCAATGCTCTTCGTTATTTTTGAACAAATTTCTTTTGCACTTACTTATTCGTCGGAGGCTTTAACTAGATTGTTCTCGTTGTGTGAGATTAGTATAGCCTGTATGTATATTTTGATTGTATCTCATAAATAGAGTTTGTTTGTAAAATGTTCTTTTTGGCGGCTGGAACAAAAAATGTTATGGGGGTACAAAAAAACTAAAATTCAGTGATGGAGGACCACACCAAAAGAGTATTAACAGAGACTAATAACACACTAAACTGAGAAAGCACTAACTACGTGAATACATATGATAAACAAAGTCTTTTGAAAGTAGCCTAGTTTAAAAAAACAAAAACGATGACATTTGGAAACAAAAAAAAACTGCACAAACACACGCATGTGTATGTCAGCAGTACGGTTACAGCGCCCTCTAGTATGGGTAAGTTGTAATAAGCGTGTATAGTGACATCACTCGTAGAAGAAGTGCAAAAAAGGTGGAGCTCAAGCTTAAGCTCCCCCTCTCTGGAGCTCAGCTCTCCTCAAATGGCTCTGCAGCGAGCACCACTTGCCCAGGCGCCCACAGCAGAGTTAACGAAGCATTGCAGTATGGCGAGTGGATAGTGCCACGGATAACCGATTGAAGGAGACTGTCGTGTAGGCTACATATTATGTCTAGAATTAATATGTGTAGAAAATGAATTTAAGATGTTTAGATTGCTACGTGTGCCCACTCACAAATTTTTAAAGTGCGACAAATAAATACCGTTAACAAAAAATATAGGTAGATTTAAAATCAGAGCAAAATCAATTCAGAAAATCTTTTAACCTTACGAAGACCGAAGGCTAGGCTAATAGCTGATTTTTTTTACAGTGCACTGTATTCGATTTATCCATTTTGTTTAAGGCTACCCCTATAGTTAACACACAGCTTTTCTCACAATCCGATTTTTTTAGTTGATCATTGGCTACTAAGTTTTTAGTATATGATTTCAAAATGTAACTAACCTGAAAAAATTATCCGGCAGCGAAAAGGTGGGCACTTTCAAATATCAGTCACATGTCAAAATCACACGTCATGTATATGTCATGTCAAAGCAAAAATTATTTGTTTTTTATTGCCCCCTTGGGGTTAGATTAAAACATCACAAGTTTTAAAGAATATCCTCGGCTTAGTTTATATAAAATTATTAGTAGGACATTTTGAACACTTTTTAACTTCCACACTGGAGTTAAACTACAGAAACAATTAATAATTTTCTTTAAGAAAATAAAATTCTATACTTTTTTTTTTTTACCACAAAAGATTGCATTCCAGATCTAGTGCAAGATGAGCCAATTCAGGGTTGAATTCAGATCAATTGGCCACTTTCCTTGATCATCGCCTCTGTGGCAAAAAGTGTCCCAATTGACCTTAATTCACCACTATTCTTTTTTTTAACAAAATAATTGATCGTTTGGTTTTCCCTCTGCTACATGGGATCAGTATTTATAGCTATTTGAAGCTATATTAGTCTGCATTTTGGAAATTCAAACCTGAACAAAGAAAAACCCAGGAATGTTTTTGTCATCAAAACATTTCTTTTCAGCTAAATAAATAAATAAATAAATTAGCATCATGGGTTAGTAAATCAACATGAAATGTTAATTCTTCTAGAAGTGAAGTCTCGAGATGGCACCGTGTGTCCATTATTGTTTATGTGTTTGTTTATGCAGGATCTGTTATCTGTGAAATGCTGTCAGTGTTCTTTCTGAATGTCCGGAGGATGCTGACTTCTCTTTTCTGCTGTGGAGGTAGGTTTCATCATTCAGTAATGTTTATTAATACTCACCATAATGGTCAAACCATAAAGGAAATAATGAGAGTAACTTAAGACTAACTTAAGAGTAACTTAAGAGAGTAACTTAAGACTAACTTATTTTAAAGAAAGCTTATTTGATCTGTCATTTTCATCTTTCTTAAATTTGCAGCCAATAATGGGAACACAGAAGAGAATCTGCCTCTGTCTGTTGAGGAGACTGCGTTCACTGGTCCAATTTCATTCTTATGATGAAGAAGAGGAAAACAACCAATTACAAGTCATGGATCCCCTCCCCTGCTAAAAAAGCTTAAACCATACAATCTAAGCTGGTTACCTGGTTTTAGCTGGTCGACCGAGGGCTTTTGGCCATTTTCAGGCTTGTGTATACAGAATGTGTACATTTAAATACGTAATTTCAAAACCAGAACATTACCATTAAAATATAATAGTTTTAAGCTTCATATACCAAATAATATGCCATTTCAAAATGTATTTTAGGGTCCATTTTTAATTTCACAATAAAATGGGCATGGAGGTCTAAAGGATGGAGGTTTTAACCCATGCTTGGTCAAATATAGACAAATCGAGTGTTTGTTTGTTTTTTAATTTAATTTACTTGACATTTCTTTAACTATTGACAGACACATTGAGGTAAAACCACCCAGTATTTTAGAATAGAACGACTGCATTAAAAATAGAGTAAATTAAATATAACTTATTAACACATGAGAAGTCTGATAACAAGATTTCATTCATTCATTCATTCATTTTCTTCTCAGTTTAGTCCCTTAATCTGAGGTCTCCACAGTGGAATGAGCCGCAAACTTATCCAGAATATGTTTTACGCAGCGGATGCCTTTCCAGCTGCAATCCATCACTGGGAAACACCCACACAGTCCCATTCACACACATACACTACGCACAATTTAGCCTACCCAATTTCCCATGTCTTTGGAGTGTGGGGGATAGCGGAGCAACCGGAGGAAACCCACGCCAACACAGGGAAAACATTCCCTATATATGGAACAATTGCATTTAAAAATAGAGTAAATAATAAACATAGCTTATGTACAGTATCGTGTTATGTCCTCCACTGGTAGGCTAATTAGCACACGAGGAGTCTGATAACCTGTGCCCGATTTTTCAAAAGTAATCCACCAGGATTTTGGATAAGTGATTGGATCAAATCTTAAAAATGGGTTTTTCAAAAGAAAAAACGGATTACCTAATCGGATTAGATCACGTAATCCAATCTTGGTTTTGATCCGGATCAAACCTTTAGTTTGGGTTTTTCAGGCCTTTTTTGTAGGATCTGGATCACTTCGATCCAAAAAAAAAAATTATTAGTAGGACATTTTGAACACTTTTTAACTTCCACACTGGAGTTAAACTACAGAAACAATTAATAATTTTCTTTAAGAAAATAAAATTCTATACTTTTTTTTTTTTACCACAAAAGATTGCATTCCAGATCTAGTGCAAGATGAGCCAATTCAGGGTTGAATTCAGATCAATTGGCCACTTTCCTTGATCATCGCCTCTGTGGCAAAAAGTGTCCCAATTGACCTTAATTCACCACTATTCTTTTTTTTAACAAAATAATTGATCGTTTGGTTTTCCCTCTGCTACATGGGATCAGTATTTATAGCTATTTGAAGCTATATTAGTCTGCATTTTGGAAATTCAAACCTGAACAAAGAAAAACCCAGGAATGTTTTTGTCATCAAAACATTTCTTTTCAGCTAAATAAATAAATAAATAAATTAGCATCATGGGTTAGTAAATCAACATGAAATGTTAATTCTTCTAGAAGTGAAGTCTCGAGATGGCACCGTGTGTCCATTATTGTTTATGTGTTTGTTTATGCAGGATCTGTTATCTGTGAAATGCTGTCAGTGTTCTTTCTGAATGTCCGGAGGATGCTGACTTCTCTTTTCTGCTGTGGAGGTAGGTTTCATCATTCAGTAATGTTTATTAATACTCACCATAATGGTCAAACCATAAAGGAAATAATGAGAGTAACTTAAGACTAACTTAAGAGTAACTTAAGAGAGTAACTTAAGACTAACTTATTTTAAAGAAAGCTTATTTGATCTGTCATTTTCATCTTTCTTAAATTTGCAGCCAATAATGGGAACACAGAAGAGAATCTGCCTCTGTCTGTTGAGGAGACTGCGTTCACTGGTCCAATTTCATTCTTATGATGAAGAAGAGGAAAACAACCAATTACAAGTCATGGATCCCCTCCCCTGCTAAAAAAGCTTAAACCATACAATCTAAGCTGGTTACCTGGTTTTAGCTGGTCGACCGAGGGCTTTTGGCCATTTTCAGGCTTGTGTATACAGAATGTGTACATTTAAATACGTAATTTCAAAACCAGAACATTACCATTAAAATATAATAGTTTTAAGCTTCATATACCAAATAATATGCCATTTCAAAATGTATTTTAGGGTCCATTTTTAATTTCACAATAAAATGGGCATGGAGGTCTAAAGGATGGAGGTTTTAACCCATGCTTGGTCAAATATAGACAAATCGAGTGTTTGTTTGTTTTTTAATTTAATTTACTTGACATTTCTTTAACTATTGACAGACACATTGAGGTAAAACCACCCAGTATTTTAGAATAGAACGACTGCATTAAAAATAGAGTAAATTAAATATAACTTATTAACACATGAGAAGTCTGATAACAAGATTTCATTCATTCATTCATTCATTTTCTTCTCAGTTTAGTCCCTTAATCTGAGGTCTCCACAGTGGAATGAGCCGCAAACTTATCCAGAATATGTTTTACGCAGCGGATGCCTTTCCAGCTGCAATCCATCACTGGGAAACACCCACACAGTCCCATTCACACACATACACTACGCACAATTTAGCCTACCCAATTTCCCATGTCTTTGGAGTGTGGGGGATAGCGGAGCAACCGGAGGAAACCCACGCCAACACAGGGAAAACATTCCCTATATATGGAACAATTGCATTTAAAAATAGAGTAAATAATAAACATAGCTTATGTACAGTATCGTGTTATGTCCTCCACTGGTAGGCTAATTAGCACACGAGGAGTCTGATAACCTGTGCCCGATTTTTCAAAAGTAATCCACCAGGATTTTGGATAAGTGATTGGATCAAATCTTAAAAATGGGTTTTTCAAAAGAAAAAACGGATTACCTAATCGGATTAGATCACGTAATCCAATCTTGGTTTTGATCCGGATCAAACCTTTAGTTTGGGTTTTTCAGGCCTTTTTTGTAGGATCTGGATCACTTCGATCCAAAAAAAAAATGGATTACACTGATCCCATCAGAAGTGTGGATTTCATGCCCAAAATGTAATGAAAACTTTACTAAATTATTAAATAATGCTATTTTTGGATCATGCAGTACCTTACGAGATATACTAGCTATAGTGATAGGCTTTAACGTATTCAGCCTTTCAGTATAGGCCTACAGCAAAGTAGAAAGAGTTTGGCCTCATAAAATAATCCCGCAAACAGCTGTGAAAATTTACCAAAAACAATACATTTTTTCTGTCACTAATTGATATATATATTCATCACAATGGAAAATATTTTTCTTTTTAGAATATTTATTAGTGATGCATGCAATGATAACAGAATAACCAAAAATAAAAAATGCAAAGAATGGCAATGACTTTAGATTTCGCTTTCAACAATTGCAAAAAGAGAGTGAAAGGGCAGCAGCACAACTTCATCTGGCAGAGGAACAACTGACTCTGACCAAACTGCAGCAAACCAAGGCCAGACTTCAGATCTGCCTCCTAAAGGCTGCACTCAGACAAGCTGCTCTCTTCACATCAGATGAGGAAGTCTGAACTTATTGTGGAGTTTTTGACATTAAGTCTTTTTTTATTTACATCTATATTTGAAACTTATTATAAATATCCTCAATGTTCAGTGTTGTAGGTCTCAGATGAGTGGACTGCTGGAAGAGGATGTGGTGGGGTTTTTCTTGTTTTTATTATTTATTATTATTATTATTTATTAAATTTTCTTAGTTTTCATTTCAAATAAAAATAAAGTTATATTGACCCCACACTGCCTATTATATTTGTTGCTCTTTACACATGCCTGTCTATCTACATTGTGATTGAGCGCTGGTTATCCAGATTTAGTGATCCTGAAAAGTTCCTATCCGGATCAGATTGATCAAATCTGATGGTGCTTTGAAAAACTGGCTCAAAAAGTAAGCTGGATTACGTGATCACAGATCGCAAAATCAGGATTACTAAATCCGGATCAATTTGATCCGGATTAAACCTTTTGAAAAACCGGGCCCAGATGATTTATTTTGTATAAATCTGTATACACCGCCATCTTGACGCTTCTTCTCACACACTTCTAACCCTGCAGCGACATCTGGTGTTAACAATATAAATAACAAATATGTGATTCTGGTCTAAAAGTAAGTAGTCTGTGCCTGTGTGTGTATATATGTGTATATGCTTGCTTTTATATTCCTGTCTGTGGGTAACTAAACCTGAATATATAAACCTATATAGAGGTCCCCACAGCTTAACATGGTTTTAAACGTAGCCTACAGAGTGAGGAATTGTGTAAGTGTAAAAGTGTGGTGTTTTCTGTGACGGTTGGTTTTGGGAAAAGAGGACATAGGCTTCATATACAATATACATTCTGTACAGTACAAACATCCTTATAATTTATCATTAAATTATGAAGAGTTCCCCCAGGAAATAGGATGTGTGTGTGTGTGTGTGTGTGTGTGTGTGTGTGTGTGTGTGTGTGTGTGTGTGTGTGTGTGTGTGTGTGTGTGTGTGTGTGTGATTTATATTTATTATTTTGTATTTTAATTTGCTATATCACAAAATTTGACAACAAATATACAAAAATGGCCAAGATGAGACTAAAGACTTCATATACTTTGCAGAATCTGCAAATAATTATTTGATTAATATAAGGGAATCATATAATTTTAATGTTATTTTTATTGACCAGACAAAGATATATATATACTGTATATAGGGCATTTGGTATTTCTATGTGGAGTTTCCACGTCTCCCCGTGTTGGTGTGGGTTTCCTCCAGGTGCTCCGGTTTCTCAAAAATTATTTTGCTTGTTCAAACTGCTTAATTAAAATGAGCTGAAACAACACAATTCTTCAGATTTCATTGGGACAACTTAATTTTTTATGTTCAATCCAATTAAATTTGTTAAAAGTGTTAGTTACCTTAATCGATTTGTGTTGGGACAACATGAATGAATTATGTAGAACCCTGCATTTTATTTTTACAGTTTATATATTGATTAAATATGTTATATTTTATATCTATCTATTTCTATTTGTAATTATTCACCGACATCTGTAAGCTGGTTAATAACTGAGTGAGCTCATATTTTTACATTATCTGTATCCATTTCAATTTTAGTAGTTGTGCTTTTTTATTGAGTTATTTGTTTATTAGCTTGCTTGTAGATTTAGTTAATTTAGTCTTTCATCTTCTTATGGTTTACCAAGTTTTCTCATTTTTAAGTGTAGATTGTTCCATCTAAAAAAATCAGATTATTTAAGTTTCTGAAAATAAATAATAGTAATTTGAGTTTTATTTCTATTTAAACCTGTTGTATATCTCCATTAGCTTATATTATTATTTTTAAAAATATTTAAATCTGATGAATGTGTGTTTTATTTTATATTGACAGGGATGTGTATTAGTTTTATGCATTCCCATACTAGTTGTAAAGTAAAAATCATCCATCATTTACCCAAGAAATTCATGTTTTTAAATATACAATAAAGTTCTTGAACTAATCTGTTGTACAATACTATAAACTATACTACACCCAGGTTGCAAAGAAATCATTGGCATTCATCCAGCACTGGTATACAGCATGTGGGCCAAACATGGCCCGGGTTTGGCAGAGGTGGCACTGTCTTTAAGGCGGCACACAAGATTAGGGCCAGATATAAAATGTTGTATTTGGCCCAGATGTTAAAAATTGATATGTGGGCCACTTAACTTTGGCCTGTTTTGACCCACTTTTAAAATATATTAAAATAATTTTTGAGTAGGGAAAGAAATTCCATCAATCAGGTTGTTTTGAGAAAAAACACGCTCATAGTGTGCCTGTAAGGGGCAATGCTTTATGCGTTTATTTCATTGCAATCATGGCACACCAACCTATCTCGCCCAGTTGAGGCCCAGTTATGAGTTAATAACCTGAGACTTGACTCTTGATCCAGAAATGGTCCATGTTTGGCCCTTGTCTGGAAGCCAGACTTGATCTAGTCATGTACCGTAATTCACTGCAGCAAGTGGGCCAAAATCTGATTGTGTGGGCCAGAGCTGGGCCATAGAAGTTTTGCTATGTGGGTATAGTTATACTACAGTATTTATTACAGTCTATCAGTTCACTATAGTAGAGTGTGCTGGAGCATTCATTAATAAATTGTTAATAATACTATATACATACAATTTACTATAGTGTGGTTCAAAACACTGCAGCACTATACGTTCCTACATAATTTTCACGTTATTTCCTCTTTTAGCAGACCCCATCCTCTCTGATTCCAGTTATTACGGTTGCTAATGAATATTAAATAAAAGAGGCGTATCTAGACATATATCAATATTAAACGCATGCAACAGTGCTAAATATTCATGAGCATTCCATTGTTATGATTACCTGTAATCGCTGATAGGAGTATGCGTGACCGAGCGTCATTAAAGCTCATTAATATTCATCAAGCTCTCTGAAGTGGGAGGTACTTACGGTCAGAAAGTGGCTGCGCACCGACGCCAGTCGTTACGGTACAACAAATGTATCCGGAAGAGTAAAACCGGACGGATTTCAGCGCTCGTCGGTTTTGAAAGCGCGTCGGTTTGATGGGCGATGGGTTTGATCGCTCGCGTCCGGAAAGAATGGTTCATTATCGGTATTGTGCTCGTTATCACATTCGCCAAGCTCCAGCCGTCTGTAGGAGTGAAAGGAGGTAAGAAATGCCAAACTGTCCTCGTGGACACATTTCTGACCATAACTAAACTTTAAAAAAGAGTTAATTTAGAAATAATAAATCAATAATGTCGCGGTCACTTTAAAGAAAACGCCTTGAGTGAATCGTATGTACGGACATGACACGTCAAGCGGTTATAAACAATGACTGATTGTTTATGTGTTGATATGAAGTGTCAGTAATTATTAAATGATACGAAGCTCATGTTTATGTCATGTAAAGTGGTTTGAATGTAGATAGAGATCATCTGAACATGTTATAATCGATGTGGGAGACAGGTTTGATGGTTGTTTTTACTGTACTCGTGACACGTTGCACACCCGGATCTGAATAATCCTGTCCGGGTGGAAATTGATGTGTAATGTGTTTTGCTTGTTTATACAGGTATGAATGTGCCTAATCAGAAACTTTTTAAGTTCTTTAAACGCCTTAAAGTCTTAAAAGACACGTAGTGTCTTGATGGATACTATAGTAATTAATAGTAAACACTGTAGTGCTTTTGAACCATACTATAGTAAATTAATCTGTTAAACTTATTCAATAGCTGTTATGGTAACACAGCATCTACAGTAATATAAACATATGATCCAATACTGTAGTTTTCTACAGCTAGTGTATATTACAATTCACCACAATTTACTGTAGTATACTACTATACTTATTACAGTTTATCAGTATAGAATGCTGTTGTATTCATTAACTGTGGTAAATGTTATAATTCGGGCTGCACAGTATTGAAAAATGTAACATTGTGATATTCTTTTATTTTGCGATATAAATTAAGACATAAATACAATTTCACAAGATGACTTAATTTCTTTACTTAGAAAAATGTATAAAGTTAGATCAATTGGGATGATTCTTCAGTAAGTTTTTGGGGTCCCCCAACACATTGTCTGTGCTTCTTGCAGTGTGTTTCTGTATTTGCATGTTTTTGGTATTTTCCTGCACTTGTTTATTCAGAGATTGATGAATTAATGTTTACTATTTGCATCTCCATAAACTCTAATAAACAATTTAAACTTTTTGGGGTCCTCGACACATTTTTGTTGTTGTCTGTGCTATTTGCAGTGCATTTCTGTATTAGCATGTGTTGTATTTTCATGCATAACAATCTATAAATACAATCAAGAAAAAGTTTCAACTGAAATAAAGTGTTATATTGTTTCCAGAGTCTAACAGTTTTCAAGTACAGTAACTGAATGATAAAAATAAAAATAATTTAATAAAAATTAATCGTAGTTGAGGTCAAAAATGGTAAAATTTTTTTATGCCTAAAGGCTTTTAAAGTCATTATTCAATCACAGGCATTAAAAACAGATGCAAATGATCAATTATAATACAAACTCAGCACTGCATACATCCTGCGATGTGAATGATCACATTGCGATATCATTGCTAAAATTATATATTTTACAGCCTTATATATAGAGTATATTTAATTTTACTATCGTATGGTTTAACTTTATTTATTGTAGTATTTATTAATGTGAGGAGTGCTCAATATGCATATAAATATGTAAAGATCATAAAAGCATGTAATGCTGTGTCTTTGAGAAATCAGCATCTTGCAATTCTTAGTCTACATAGGAAAATGAAAGCATCTTCCAAGTAGATGTAGGTGTAATAATAAGTGTAAATATTTTTATTTTACACATATCTATTTCCCTATTATAATAAGTGTGCTTTCTTTCAGGTCCTCTTCATCCAGAGATCACCATCACTTATGTTGCAGTATCTGTCATTTTCTTCAACAGCGGCTTGTCTTTGAAAACAGAGGTATCATCTTTAAATATTTTTTTAAATGTGATTTTAATTATTTAGTTGTTTTTAATTATAGTTGCTTTATTTATAGTTGCATTTGTTTCTGTGTATGTTTTGCTTTTCTACTCTTTATATGTTTGTAAAGAGCTTTGATACTGTACTTTTAATGGTGCTGTAAAAAACAAAGTTTATTTTTATTATTATTATGCAAACTTGGTTATATTTATGATTTTATACAGTTTTTATAATACTGAGCAAAAAATTAATCACATCTAAAATTATTATTGTATATGTGGTATATGTAATACAAACACATACCTAAAATCATTTTTACAGAAAAAATCTTTACATATTTTTTTTATTTAAATATAATTTGTATCATATATATATATATATATATATATAAATCTAATATATGCATGCATGTGTGTATTTATATAACAATAATAAATATTTACACAAATACACTCACCGGCCACTTTATTAGGTACACCTTACAAGTATCGGGTTGGACCCCCTTTTGCCTTCATAACTGCTTTAATCCTTCGTGGCATAGATTCAACAAGATTCTGGAAATATTCCTCAGAGATTTTGCTTCATATTTACATGATAGCATCACACAGTTGCTGCAGATTTGTCGGCTGCACATCCATGATGCAAATCTCTTGTTACACCACATTCCAAAAGTGCTCTATTGGATTGAGATCTGGTGACTGTGGCGGCCATTTAAGTACAGTGAACTCATTGTCATGTTAAAGAAACCAGTCTGAGATGATTGAGCTTTATGACATGGTGCGTTATCCTGCTGGAAGTAGCCATCAGAAGATGGAGACTCTGTGGTCATAAAGGGATGGACATGGTCAGCAGCAATACTCAGGTAGGCTGTGGCGTTGATGCTCAATCGGTACTAATGAGCCCAAAGTGTGCCAAGAAAATCTCCCCCACACCATTACAGCACCACCACCAGCCTGAACCGCTGATACAAGGCAGGATGGATCCATGCTTTCATGCTGTTGAGGCCAAATTCTGAGCCGAGCATCCGAATGTGGCAGCAGAAATCGAGACTCATCAAACAAGGCAACGTTTTTGAGATGGTTGTGCATGAAAATCCCAGTAGATCAGTAGTTTCTGAAATACTCAGACCAGCTCGTCTGGCACCAACAACCATGAAACGTTCAAAGACACCTAAATCCCCATTCTTCCCCATTCTGATGCTCTATTTGAACTGCAGCAGATTGTCTTGAACATGTCTACATGCCTAAATGCATTGAGCTGCTGCCATGTGATTGGCTGATTAGAAATTAGCGTTAACGTCAGTTAGACAGGTGTACCTAATAAAGTGGCCGATGAGTATATATAGTGATAAAAACGTTTATTTTGGATGTGGTTAATCACAATAATTTTTTTTCCCTGCACACATTTTTATAATGGCTATTTCGACTTGTGTTTCAGGAGCTGGCGAGTGCATTGATGCACGTAAAGTTGCATTTCTTCGTCCAGACATTCACGCTAGTATTTTTCCCCATCGCCATTTGGCTCCTTCTCAAAGTGCTGGCGCTGACGGCGATCAACGAATGGCTTCTCAGAGGGTGAGTGTGTTTATTTCCAGATTTCTCCAGCTCGTACACACACTCTCCAGCTGAATGGAGGCTCTGTCGCTGGAGTTGCACCATGGGTAACTACATCTCTGAGGTCTTCAGTGTTTAGGTTGTTTTCCTGCAAGGGAGTACTACATGTTCACCTGCAGCTTTACAGACAGACAAGACATTATGAGGCACTTTCAAAGATTAGTTCACTTCCAGAGGGAAAATCATAACTTACTCACTCCCCCATCATTCAATATGCTCATTTATTTCTGGCTTCTGTTAAAAAGAAATTAAGGTTTTTGAGTATTTTGTCTCCATATAGTGGGTTTCTATGGTGCTCAGAGGTTTAATCTTTTTAAATGCAGTTTAAAAGGCTCTAAATGGTCAGCCATGTTCATAAAATGTATAAAATTTCATAAAACTTGCAATTAATTATAGTCTTTTTAACAGTTTAATAATCAGGCATTGGAATCAGAGTGTGAAACACATATCCTAAATAAAGAATAATAAATGTTAACAGTAAAGTGCAAGGTAAAGAGTAACAGAGGCTGTAATATCTGATCTGTTTTCACTATTTTCGCTATGGCGCCCCTCCATGCAGCAGCCATGAAAAAGGTCTATATTGCATCACCAAAAATGATTAAGATCATGTCCATGTGTTGTGCGACATATTGATTATTGTGACAGGCCTGTGTAAAAGTGTTGTATATGAGTGTTTAGTGTTGTTATTTATTAGCTTCTCTGTCCGTCAGGTTGCAGACGGTCGCTTGTATGCCTCCTCCAGTGTCCTCCGCTGTCATTCTCACAAAAGCTGTCGGCGGAAATGAGGTGAATTAAACAACAGCTTCATTAAACTTAAGAGTTTTTTCATTAAATTTTTCTCTTCTAACTTTTGATTTGAAACATCAATATTTGTATTTTTCCCGATTCACAATAACAGATAGCAAAATAACTGAAGGAAGATAAATTGAAGGATGACATGTATATGCAAATACTCGAAGCAAAACACAGCAGCACTAATTAACAAAAGAAATGGTATATTCCAAACGAATATATACCCAATATTATCAACATCGTAAAAATAAATAAATAAGCAACATTATATTTAAGATGAAGTCGAGTATATGAAGTTGATATATTCCTAGTGTGGAGGAGAAAATCAACATATTCAATATAAGTCAATACATCTGTGCTTATTTGACATTAAAACATTAATAAATAAAAAATAAAATCAATATATTTATTTATATTTATATATTTTTTATTCACAGGCTGCAGCCATTTTCAATTCAGCATTTGGGAGTTTTCTGGTAAGTCTGATAATGTAGAGAGAAAAAAGACAACACAAACAAACAACAGAAAAATAAATGTGTGTGCTTTATTTTTCATTTTTTCTGTGATGTCTGCAGGGGATTGTGGTCACTCCTCTGCTGCTGCTTGTGTTTGTGAGTAAAACTGCTCTTTCATTTGTTTTCTGTTCCTTATGAAAGTGCTGAACAATAGGCATGTAGTGTGTGTGTGAGCTCGGTGGATTACATATGAATTATAATAGTTAATTTTAAATTCGGCTTAGTCCCTTATTTATCTGGGGTCGACACAGCGGAATGAACCAACTACTATTCCAGCATATGTTTTACACAGCAGATGCCCTTCCAGCTGCAACCCAGTAATGGGAAACACCCATACACACTCCTTCACACACACCCATACACTACGGCCAATGTATTTAATCGATTCCCCCTATAGCACATGTGTTTGGACTATGGGGGAAACCGGAGCACCAGGTGGAAACCTACGCCAACACGAGGAGAACATGCAAAGAAACGCCAACTGAACCTGCTGGGATTTGAACCAGCGACCTTCTTGCTGTGAGGCGACACTGAGTCACATAATGAATTGTTACTGATTACAAATTGCATGACAAAATTTGTAGTTTGTAATATGATCTCTTGGATTGCTACACAGTTGGATTACTTTTTGGATTACATTTAGATTACTTGTGTGCTTATGTAACAGAGGCCAGCTAGTGTGTGCTGTGCAGGTAAACCTCACTCCTCTGATCTTTAAAGTTGTTCTTGCGACGGACTATAGAGGTCATGGTCTTTAGCCTCCTTCTTAGAGCACCCGACACCCATGCAAGAGGTCGCTGATTCGATCCCAGCTCCGAGCAGGTTGGGTGGTGTAGGACCGGCGGGGTTACATTGGTGCCGTGACCCGGATGGGAAAGAGGTTTTGGGGTATGAGTGTAACAGAGGCCAGCGAGTAAATGCTGTGCAGATAAACCTCACTCCTCTGACCTCTAAATGTGCTCTAGCGACAGGCGCTAGAAGACAGGGTCTTTAGCCTCCTTGGTAGAGCAACCACCTCCCATGTGGAAGGTCGTCGGTTCGATCCCAGTTTGGAGCAGGTTGGGTGGTGTAGGACCAGCGGGGTTACACTATCCCTTATTCAGCGTCAAAAATAATGAAATAGGATAATCTTGTACTATTTGGATGGATTTAAAGAAGAAATATGTCCATTCTTCATCAGAAATAATTCTATTATTTTCCCCCACAGTCCAAACACATGCTCTATAGTGGAATTGGATGAACTAAATTGGCCGTAGTGTATGAGTGTGTGTGTGAATGAGTCTATGGGTGTTTCCCAGTACTGGGTTGCAGCGGGAACGGCATCCACTGTGTAAAACATATGCTGGAGTAGTTGGCGGTTCATTACGCTGTGGCGACCACTGATATATATGGGACTAAGCTGAAGGAAAATAAATATATATTTATAAATAATAATTATATTATATAAAATTATATTAATAATAAAACTCGCCAGCTTCTTTTTCAAAGTGCAATGTCAATACTTCAGTTAATACTTAATAATACTCACACTAATATACCTCAATGTTAGTGATTGCTGATAGTGTATAAGTATATAAGTGTCAGGTTTATTAGGAAAAAATATGAGAACAGAGAGAATTTGGGAGAATCCATGAATTGTGAACAACATACTGCCACTGAGTAAATAACCATGTAATCCATAATAAAGTAACTGTGATCTGATTACATTTAGTCATTTAGCTGCACAATTAATCGTTAAAAGATCGCGCTCTCGATTCGACCCCCTAGACCAGGGGTGTCAAACTCAATTCCTGAAGGGCCGAAGCCCTGCACAGTTTAGTTCCAACCCTGCTCCAACACACTTACCTGTAGGTTTCAAACAAGACTGAAGGACTCAATTAGTTTGATCAGGTGTGTTTAATTAGGGTTGGAACTAAACTGTGCAGAGCTGCGACCCTTTTGGAACTGAGTTTGACACCTGTGCCCTAGACGATCTTAATCCAGCATTTCTACGATTCTGCCAATCATATTTTCAAGTTCAGGAGAGAAGAAAAGGCGGCTGCCCGAGTCTTTTCATTGTTTCACACACGTTGCTCAGTGACATTGACACCTCCAAATGATGTTGAATGAGTCACAAAATGTATTTATAAGGTATAATTCACCTAGAAATGTCATGTTGTCTTCATATAATGATGTTTTCGCGGCCGGGAAAACATCATTACGTGACGTGACGTGAGCTGTTGTCACAAAGAGGCCGCGCGCGCGCGCGCTCTACTTAATGATAGACACGCGCGCGTCTACTTTAGTGAACAGAACCTGCATATGTTGCGAGTAACAGCTAATACAGTAGTAAATAATATTCAGTTTGTAACACTGAGTGATCGTTTGGGAGCCGCGCGCGAAGTATGAACAAGCACTAGCAGTCAGAATGAAACCGAAAGTGTGCACTTCATTTAAATGATCATAACGCATTTTAGAGTTATGATTACGACAAGTGTTTGATATGTTTTTTCTTTCATAGCGAACAGAGTTGTGCATGAAAATAAATGTTTACAATGTCAGTATAACTACTCTAGCCTATATATTGTTGAATATAATCTGATAATGGCAAATGTCTGATTTTACCAGTGAATAAAATTGTCTAATATGACAGATTGCAAGCAAATATCTCAAACATAATAATTCAACATCAGAATTATTATAAGTAGAATAGAATTATTTATAGAAACCAGTTCACATAATACACATAATATTATTATCGATGTTTGTTTTTACCATACCTTTATTTTACATCTACAGAATCGTGATCTTTATTTAAAGCAAAAAAATCGCAAATCTCATTTTAGCCAGAATCGTGCAGCTCTACAAAGAACTTTAAAAAGTAGTGTACTCCAGTTATAAATGTTTGATTTTAGGAATCAGATTACGTAATCCAGATTTCTTGGCCAGCGGAGAAATTAAAATGGTCGTGCCGAACTGAGTCTGGTTCTCTCAAGGTTTTTTTTTCTTCACTCTCCTATTGGTGAAGTTTTTTTCCCTCTCCGCTGTCGCCACTGGCTTGCATAGTTCAGGATCTGTAAAGCTACTCATCGATGAATTTGCTCTTCAGTGTTTGGACTCTCAGGAATGACTTCAAACCACACTGAACTGAGCTAAACTGAACTTAAACACTAAAAACTGAACTACCCTGATCCAGTTACTATGACCATTTATGTGAAGCTGCTTTGACACAATCTACATTGTAAAAGCGCTATACAAATAAAGCTGAATTGAATTAAATAGAATTAAATTAGATATGCATAATTTTCCAGCTCTGTTCCTGGTTATGTTGGAGTTGTACAGTGTGGTTTTACTACACAATATATATATATAATATGTCTATGGTTTTCCTTTGTATTGTGTGTGTTTAGCTGGGCTCCTCGTCTTCAGTGCCGTTCACCTCCATCTTCTCGCAGCTCTTCATGACGGTGGTCGTACCTCTCATAGTTGGACAGGTGTGTGTGTGTGTGTGTGTGTGTGTGTGGTGTGTGTGTGTGTGTGTGTGTGTGTGTGCTGATATTGATGGTTTACATGTACAATTTTTGTATAATGACAGGGACAAGGACGTGCCTGATGTCTTTGTAATTCAAAACACTTAAAAAACAAACTTAATGGGGTCTTTTTATATATTTTTTTCCAGGTTTCCTCTTAGGATTTGGTTTAGGGGTTAGGGCTATGTAATTAGCATTTTTATAAATACATAAAGTACATTGCGCCTATGGAGAGTCCTTATAAACCACCAATACTGATGTGTTTGTGTGTCTGTTGTTTTGGTCAATTATACTGGATGTGTGTTTTCAAATCTCAGGCCCCATTTTTAACCCTTAGGGGTCTGAGGGGATTTGCGGGGCCGCTAAGATGTTTTGACATGCCCTGACATTAGTGCTTATTTCAGCTACTTAATACACATGTATATTTTGTATTCAGCACAAACTGTGCTATACCAAATATGTAAGAAATATTGATGCGTGTTTTTTGAAAATAAATATGCATGGTTAGTAGGTTTTGGAAATAAAGATGTAGCTGAAATAAGGCCCAAAAAACACACAGAATGTCCCTGAACAAGACTTTTAAGTGACCAGTCCTGTAGGCTAGAATATTTACTTCATTATTCTTTTCTCTCATTCAAAGAAAACATTACAATGATTTACATTTTGTAAGTGTCTGGGTCAGAATCAATGACTGTAAAAAATATGGACGACGCGACAGCCCTTTTTCCCATTGAACACCTTGAGGGCAAAACGCCTGCTTGACGGGCACAAACTGTCGCAAAAGACTGCTGAAATTGGAGCCTTGACATGCGCAGAAGGACTGTCTGATGGAGCCAGAGGAGGAGCCGCGAAAATGAGCGGAGTCGAGCTTCCAATCAAACGCTTTATGTAAAATCAACTACGCCCCCCGAACTTCTCAGCATGCGTTTGCTGTCATATCAACACAAATGGATGTAAAAACGTTAACAAATATGAGGGTTTTATATATTCAATCGTGCCAGCTCCAGGCCGCAGCGCATAACTTACTCGCGGCGTCGCGGGCTGTTTTCGGCTCGCATGCGGCAGCGCCGGCTCGCTCGGCCGCCGCATCTGGCTCGATTGACTCGGGCTGGAATCGGGCAGTGAGTCCAGGCATCCGGAGTAGGTCCAGCAGAGGTAGTCAGTCTGAGCTCTAAGAGATAAGTCTCCGGCAGGCGAGAATCTAGCCGGAACTGTGTTTTGCTATCTGGGTGGCTAGGCGTGTATCAGCAAACTAATAAAGCCCGAAAAAAGCCCTGAACTTAGCGAATAAACAGTGTTCCACCAGGATCATGTATGTCAGAAACTATAGTTTACTGCTGAACTCATTTTGTCATGGTAAAATAACACAGAAATCAAATAATAACACTTCAGTCTACTTCAGTCTCCTGCCAAAGCTCAGACGCCGCGCTTTGAGAAACTGTCAATCACAACTGTCAATCACGATGACACGCCCAGCATTAAATTACTGCTAAAAACAAACTGTTTACAAAAATGAAGATCTGCACCTATTTCAGCACAATAACCAGTGCCTTAATCCACCAGAACCATCTTTCGGGACATTTTATTGCAAGTGTAATAATTTTTTTTATTTGGGCTCAAGTCTCCTTCATTAACACGGAGGAGGCGGGCTTTATGACTTGTACTGCAGCCAGCCCCCAGGGGGCGATCTAACGGCCGAGACCCTCACTCAAACGCAGGCTTGCGGCACACTTGGTCAGAATACTGCAGGCGTGGGAGTGACAATGGTCATGGATAATTCATGCCTGGAGAGACAAAAGACACTCCCCCACTGGCTAATGTTCACCCATCAAAGGCAGTGTAAAGCAATGTCCAGCTTCAAAAGCTAGCCCAAGCTAAATGCTTGCATTATTATTTGCTGTATTATGACCATGTAAACACGAGTCAGTAATGGTAGTTTTACTTGATAATGATTTTTCAATACTGTTTTCATCTTTGGTGTGATGTTGAGTGTGTTTTGTGGCACCGCTGTGATATTGAGTGTGTGTTTAGGTGTGCAGGAGGTTTCTGCGTGAGTGTCTGGACCGCCGGAAGCCTCCGTTCGGGGCGGTGAGCAGTGTGGTTCTGCTTATGATCATCTACTCCACTTTCTGTGACACTTTCAACAACCCCAACATCGAGCTGGATCACCTGAGCCTGCTCACCGTCGTCTTCATCAGTGAGTCTCAAAAATCATCGTTATTTCAGCTCTCATAGCAAATAGACATGGGACGACAACCGGTTTCAAGGTTTACAGCGGTTTGGAAAAGTTATGGTTTTAAAACCTCTATTTTCTGCGATACGTTCCTTCTGTATATGCAAGTTTCTTTTTCATGTACATGTACATATGTAAATATTTATTTTATTTATTTTTCTTTGATGTCCAATAACAATTTTAAACAAATTCAGTGAAGAATGGCGGTAAAAGAGCATGGTAACATTCAAAACACTGTAACTTTCACATTCACTAACTTAGAGTTTTTAGTTGTATTTATGTTATAATTTTCAATTTTAACTGTTTCATAAAATAAATTTGGATTGGATTATGAGGGTTAAAAAGTGTTAGAATATACAAGTTTTAGTCTAAATTTTAAAATACAATGTGCTCAGAAATGTGATGGTAAACTAATTTTAATGAATTATTGAAGAAATAATATGTCTCCCAGTGATGGGTTGCAGCTGGAAGGGCATTCGCTGTGTAAAACATGTCCTGCATAAGTTGGCGGTTCATTCCGCTGTGGCAAACCCATATTAATAAAGGGACTAAGCCGAAAAGAAAATGAATGAATGAAAGACTAAAGACACTATATAGTTTTTTCTCTCTCTCTCTCTTTTAGTATTTTCCATCCAGCTGAGCTTCATGGCCCTGATATTTTTCTTATCCACGAGGTGAGAAACACAATCACTTTTTTTCACATATTGCGTTTATTTTTCAATATTAAATTTACAGGTTTAACATTAAAGAAACAACAATGTTATCCTCTAAAAATCTCCCCCCTCACAAACCATTTACAATTTTCAGTTAAAGACAATGATCTGTGAATATCATCTCTGTGACCCACATCGCCAGCATCCTATTTTGTGATGTTTTGCAGGAAATCCTCTGGTTTCAGTGCAGCTGACTCAGTGGCCATCATGTTTTGTGCCACTCATAAATCCCTGACTTTAGGTAAAACACTGGTTTCATCCCAAATTACACACTGCACACTATGCACTTATACACTCACTCAGCCATGTAGTGTATGAGTTTAGTCTGGTCCCAAATTGAACACTAATGTTTATTGGCTAAATGGAAATTCAAAATTCTATTTATTTTAGTGAAATAAAAGATCAAATGATCAAATTGCTGTCAGGAATCCAGCAACCACATTCACCATCAAAATAAATAAAGTAATCCAGCCTCAGTGCAAGATAGCTCCTGCACCTTCGACAAGTGAGCCCTTCTTCATCAGTTAATCCGCCCCTTTGTAAGCGTCCCTTCCCTTTATTAAGTAGCCCCTCCCCTTAATTAGTAACTCCTCCTTTAGTCGGCCCCTTCATCAGTAACTCCTCCCCTTCATCAGCAGCTCTTCCTCCTCAGCAGGAACTACTCCCCCTCATCAATAACTCCTTCCCTTAATCCCTTCATCATGAACTCCTCCTTTTCATCAGTAACTCCTCCCCTTAATCAGTAACTTCTCTCTTTCATCAACTCCTCCCCTTAATCAGCATCCTTGTCCCTTCATCAGTAACTCCTCCTTTTTATCAGTAACTCCTCCCCTTAATCAGTAACTTCTCTCTTTCATCAACTCCTCCCCTTAATCAGCATCCTTGTCCCTTCATCAGTAACTCCTCCTTTTCATCAGTAACTCCTCCCCTTAATCAGTAACTTCTCTTTCATCATCAACTCATCCCCTTAATCAGCATCCTTGTCCCTTCATCAGTAACTCCTCCTTTTCATCAGTAACTCCTCCCCTTAATCAGCAAGCCCTCCCCTTCATTAGTAACCCCTCTCCTTTAATAGCAGCCCCTCCCCTTAATAAGTAACTCCTTGCCTTCATCAGCAGCTTCTCCTCTTCATCAGCAGGCCCACCCCTTCAACGTCAGCTCCTCCTCTTTATCAGCAACCCTTCCCCCTTTGTTAGCAGCACCTCCTCCGCTTCATCAGCAGACTCATCCTGTTCATCAATAACTCCTCCCCCTTCATCAGCAGGCTTCTCCTCTTTATCAGTAACCCCTCCCCTTAATCAGTAACTCCTCCTCTTTGTCAGTAGACTTGTCTCTTCATCAGTAACTCCTCCCCTTCGTTTGGAGCCCCCCCATCTGTAACTTCTCCCCTTCATCAGCAGGCCCGCCCCTTCAACAGAAATTACTCCTTCATTAGCAGTTCCTCCTCTTCATCAGTAACTCCTCCTCTTCATCAGGCCCTCCCGTTCACCAGTAGCTCATCCTCTTCATTAAAAGCTTCTCCTCTTCCACCATAGCCCGTCCTCTTCAGCAGCACCTCCCCTTCATCTGTAACTCCTCCCCTTCATCCGCAGCTCCTCCTCTTCATCAGTAGCTCCTCTTATTGATCAGCAACCCCTTCCCTTCACCCACAGCTCCTCCCCTTCTGCTACATATGCAAAGCTGCAAGCATTAAGTGCATGCAGTATTCACCAATACACACTTCTGTTGAATAAGTGCATCATCCGAGTATTTCAAGTGCACTTATTCTGTAAAATGTTCAGTGTGAATGCACAATTTACACTATTTATACTACTAAAAAGGCCTAGAGTAGTGCATAAGATTGTGATTTGGGACGCAGCTGCTCACTGTGCTGTGTGGCTGTGTCAGATGTGGATGGTTTGGCAGTGTTTTCTGGTGTGTGTCTGCAGGAATCCCCATGCTGAAGATCGTGTTTGAGGGTTATGAGCATCTGTCTCTGATCTCTGTGCCTCTACTGATCTACCATCCCGCTCAGATCCTGCTGGGCAGCGTCTTACTGCCCTCCATCAAAACCTGGATGAGCGGCAGACAGAAGGTCTCACTCACTCCCACATGCATGCATACATACACACTCATCTCTCTTTCACACACATCATATCCGCCAACACTCCCGTTTTTCTCGGGAGTCTCCCATATTTCAGACCTATCTCCCGCTACCCTCCCGTTTTGTTACTTCTCCCAGAAAACTCCGGTTATGTTATTGTTGCCATCACTGAAACTCTTGGTTTGCTTTCTCCACAGACTCTGACACCCATATGATCTCTACACTGTTGATCAGTAGCTGTGAAACACTCGGCTGATGCTTGACCAAACCAGAACCAACGAGACCAAACCAGAGGAGACGACAACTGTGGACGAACAGGAGATCAGTGCCTTACAGTGACCCGCTGGACCACAGTGCAGGGAACACACACACACACCATTCCTGAATGTAGAGCTTTATTTTTATATGAACTCCAGACTCTTTTCTAACTCCAGCAGTGCTCACACTCATCAGAAGAGATTTATATTTGTTTTTAGACTGCAGGAAGTGGTTCAGTGTTTCTGCAGTACAGACTGAAGTGAATGTGTAATGCACTGCTAACCTCCTTTACCTGACGACCCGAGTATTGTTTATTCTGCTGCAGTAAACACACACAGAGGTCAGTCGCCATGTCCTGTGCCATATGATGTTACTGAAGGAATAAACCTTGTCCTAAATCCTGTCTGAAGGAGGTTTTCTTTGTCAACCTTTTCTAATTGTGTTCTGTGGTGCTTTAACATCATAAAAGGATGATTCAACTTTTTAAAATAAGTCTAGTAACATGCTAATCATGCTAATGACACAATAATGATGCTAGAAACATTAGTAACATGTTAACCATGCTATAAACGTGTTAGAAACGTTAGCAACATGCTAATAACATGTAAATCATGCTAAAACTTACCAACATGCTAATCATGCTAGAAACATGTTAATCGTTAATAACATGATAGTAACATGTTAACACCATGCCAGTGACATGTTAGTAACATGTTAATCATGTTAAAACATGTTGGAAACTTTACCAACATGCTAATCATGCTGGAAACATGTTAATAGCATGATGGTAACGTTAACACCATGCTAATAACATGCTAGTAATGATGTTAACGTCAAGCTACTAAAATGCTAATCATTTAAACATCATGTTAGTAATGTTATAAAAAAACATGCTAAACATGTTAATAACTTGAAGTTAACATTAACACCATGCTAATGACATGCTAGTATGTTAACATCATGCTACCAAACTGCTAATCAATCAAACAAAATGTTAGCAATGTTATAAAACATGTTAAAAACGTTAGCAACATGCTAGTAACATGTTAATCATGTTAAAAACATGTTGGAAAATTCCCAACATGCTAATCATGCTGGAAACATGTTAACACCATGCTACCAAAATGTTAATTATTCAAACAACAGGTTAGTAATGTTATAAACATGTAAGAAATGTTAGCAACATGCTAGTAACATGTTAATCATGCTTAAAAAAACATGTTGGAAACTTTACAGGCATGTTAATCATGTTAATAACATAGTAACGTTAACACCATGCTAGTGACATGCTAGTATGTTAACGTCATGCTACCAAAATGTTAATTATTCAAACATGTTAGTAATGTTATAAAATACGTTAGCAACATGCTAGTAACATGTTTATCATGCTAGTTGGAAACTATTTCGACATGTTAATCATGCTGAAAAAATGTTAATAACATGATAGTAACATGTTAACACCATGCTAGTAATAATGTTAACGTTATTATACCAAAATGCTAATCATTCAAACAACATGTTAGTAATGTTAAAGATGTTAACAACATGTTAACATGCTGGTGCCATGCTAATCGTGCTGGAAGCATGTTAAAATACGCCAATCATGTTAATAGACCATTTTGAGGGATGTAAACAATAACCATGGTCCTGATGTATGTCCTGTATTACATTATAAATTTCCATAGCTTCTGTAGGTTCAAAAAGAGTCACATGTTGATAAATAATGTTACGACAGCTGTTATAGCATCAAGTTATGATTGAATCTTCTGTTGTTTCAGATACGAAAAAGTTAGACAACAAGCAGGAAATGCTCAGGGACCAATGACATCAACACATTGAAATGTGTTTATAACATGATAGTAACACGCTAATCATGCTAACACAATGCTAATAATGCTGGTAACAGTATGCTACCAAAATGCTAATGATGCTAAAAAATTTTCAATCATGCTGGAATCATCCCTACAACATGCTAGTATATACTACTAATTATGCTAGGAACATGTCAATGACAAGTCAAGAAAATTTAAACGACATGATAACCATGCTAGCAATGTGCTACTGAAATGCCAATCATGCTAGTAGCATGATGCTAGTATTCTGAAAACATGCTAACAACATGATAATTGTGTTAGAAGTGTGATAGTAACATGATAATCCTACTAGCAATGCGCTAATAACATGCTAATTATGCAAGTAACGTTATTTACCACTCAGAACGCAACAGCATGACAAACTACGCTTTTGAAATTACAAGCTAGGCGTTCTCAAGCCAACATCAAAGATTCCTTTTTTTAAAAACAAATACAATCATTGTTTTTTTTTTTTTATTAATATTTTTTTTGCGTTTTCAAGCCTCTGAAATGCTGTTGTCATTCAAATAACCAGCTGAAAGATGAATTGTTACTGTTTTTAGTTGAAACATTCATGTTAGCATACCCTGATTTACACACCATGCACTTTTAATACTTTTCTACTCTCTCTATATGTTATTTAGAGTGTGAACAATTTTTTAAAACTAGTATTCAGACTAAAATGTATCTTATTAGCATTTATGCATGTTATTAAATACAACTGAAATATCGCTAAAGGCAAAAGCACTTCCTGCTTTTCTGTCTTTGAGGGGGTTTAATACAGTAAGTGTGTAAAATAGATTACTGTTTTCTGCATACTTTTATCAGTGTTTGAAAGAATATACTATATAGTAAATTAAATAGTAGTATACTATGGGTTAAAATCAAGCAACCCGGTCTTATCACATCATTAAAATTCAGAATAGAAATGAATTTTGAACAGTCACACAACCTACAGGTGTTATTTACATACTGAATATCTGTATACTGTACACAGAAAAACTAGCGTATGCATGTTTTGGGGTCGGTAAAATTAGTTTTTCCAAGAAATCAAAGCTTTTTTTATTCAGCAAGGATGCTACAAATTCATTTTAAAAATCCAACCCCGGCTCAGTCTGATTATGTACCCCTGTATACATTTCTGGAGAGCGCCAAAAACGTCCCAGGAGCTACATTTTTTTTTTTTTTTTTTTTTATTAATATTTTTTTTGCGTTTTCAAGCCTCTGAAATGCTGTTGTCATTCAAATAACCAGCTGAAAGATGAATTGTTACTGTTTTTAGTTGAAACATTCATGTTAGCATACCCTGATTTACACACCATGCACTTTTAATACTTTTCTACTCTCTCTATATGTTATTTAGAGTGTGAACAATTTTTTAAAACTAGTATTCAGACTAAAATGTATCTTATTAGCATTTATGCATGTTATTAAATACAACTGAAATATCGCTAAAGGCAAAAGCACTTCCTGCTTTTCTGTCTTTGAGGGGGTTTAATACAGTAAGTGTGTAAAATAGATTACTGTTTTCTGCATACTTTTATCAGTGTTTGAAAGAATATACTATATAGTAAATTAAATAGTAGTATACTATGGGTTAAAATCAAGCAACCCGGTCTTATCACATCATTAAAATTCAGAATAGAAATGAATTTTGAACAGTCACACAACCTACAGGTGTTATTTACATACTGAATATCTGTATACTGTACACAGAAAAACTAGCGTATGCATGTTTTGGGGTCGGTAAAATTAGTTTTTCCAAGAAATCAAAGCTTTTTTTATTCAGCAAGGATGCTACAAATTCATTTTAAAAATCCAACCCCGGCTCAGTCTGATTATGTACCCCTGTATACATTTCTGGAGAGCGCCAAAAACGTCCCAGGAGCTACATTTTTTTTTTGCAGTTTTTCTCTCGCGAGTGCCATTTGCACCAGTTGTTCTAGCGTAAATTACCAGAGGCTGCTGTCGACTGACTGACCCACTCTCCTCCTTCCCTAAACCCAATCAATAGTGTTTTCAAAAGCACCAATTGATCCGCCCACACTCAAAAAAATCAACTAGGCATGTATTGGATTTACAAAATAAAAATTTGTCAGATTGAAAAGAACAAATCAAGTTTACGTATGTTAAATGATTAACTCATGTTATTTGAAACTGAATCAAGATATAATCAAATGAATTTGATCAGAAAATGTTGATTCAATAAGACTGAGACGCTTCAAATTGACAAGAAAAATGTGTTTTCGGCACAGTTTGGGAATTGGTTTTCCCAAGAGCTTGAATGTTATGCATGTTATGTTGTTGGCTATATGTGTCCTATACATTTTATACTTTTACATTTTGAATAGGAGTACCAAAGTGTAGAAAGCTGTTTAAACTCAATTGGTAAAAAAAATGATGTTAACGACCTACAGGTATTGCTTGGGGATCAGTTTTCTTAAGAGCCAAGGTTATTTTGTTGGCTAAATGTTTCTTATACATTTTATATTACATATTCCAATTTTGGATATTATATGACATTTTGTATAAGAATATTAAAGAAGAAATTTGTTTAAATGTGATTGGTGCCTGCTAAAGGCTATAATAAAAGAAATATATATATATATATACATGTTTTCTGTCCTTTTTGTGTTGAATTACTTAATTTTAAATCTTGCTTCATAGTATTGTAATTTTAAAAATGTAATTTAAACAACAAGGCGAGGCAGTGGCGCAGTGAGTAGCACGATCACCTCACAGCAAGAAGGTCGCTGGGGTGCTGGTTCGAACCTTGGCTCAGTTAGCGTTTCTGTGTGGAGTTTGTATGTTCTCCCTGCCTTCGCGTGGGTTTCCTCTGGGTGCTCCGGTTTCCCCCACAGTCCAAAGACATGTAGTACAGGTGAATTGGGTAAGCTAAATTGTCTGTAGTGTATGAGTGTGTGTGTGAATGTTTCCCAGATGGGTTGCGGCTGGAAGGGCATCTGCTGTGTAAAAAAAACTTGCTGGATAAATTGGCGGTTCATTCCGCTGTGGCGACCCTGGATTAATAAAGGGACTAAGCCGACAAGAAAAGGAATGAATGAATTTAAACAACAATATTGAACAAGAAATTTACTAGCTGATTTAACAAGACATAATTTTGTTAAAGTAAAGCTTTAGTGTTACATTGAGTAAATTAGAATCATTTTAATTAGAATAACACAATACAAACATTTTGAGTCAATTAGTTGCAAAGAAGTTAGACTGACATATTGAAACCATGTTTTATCTACAAATGTGCTTTGTGTTCATACAACATGTTCAAAGCAGTTCAGGTTTACTTGATTCAGGGGTGTCCAAACTTTTTGGGCCGAGGGCCAGATGCAAAAAAACAAACGTTGTCGCGGGCCAAATTTTACATACATCACACAGACACGCATATATATATATATATATATATATATATATATATATATATATATATACAGTTGAAGTCAGAATTGTTAGCCCCCCTAAATTATTAGCCCCCATTTATTTTGTCCCCAATTTCTGTTTAACGGAGAGAAGATTTTTTTCCACACATTTCTAA